ATGATTTTTTTAATTTACAAGAATATATGTGTTTAGAACAAAATGATCACATTTTCCGGGTTTGTTAGAAACATGATGTTGAATAACCTTGGATGTTAAAGTTGGGTTTTCTTTTAGAGATTTCCGAGTTTAATCTCTTTAAAGGCTTAATAATGAATTAATATGACGTGGCGTGGCGGCTTTCTGTGTCGCATATATTGTCTTGGGCGATCAGTGATCACCCATCCGAGAACAAGCAGTCCGATAAGTGCTTAAAACGATTTTTTTTCAACTATAATATTTGTTGACAACTCAACATAATTAATAACTTATTATTCATAGATAAAATAATTTTTTCAGTGAATTTTATGTTTGAAAATGGATATTTTATGATTCATGCGACACGTTTATATGATTATTTTGAAACCTTAAACGTTGTCATGCAGATATAGTGTAGATAGGAGTATATAAGACAACTGATTAATATCCATGTAGAGGAATTTAAAATACAAAATAAACTAAAACAATTGTATTGGAATAACTATAGATATATCTGATTCATGTAAATTAAATATAATTAGAAGATAATATATTATATTATTAAATTAAATATTGAAATAAAGTGTTTGAAAACTATAAATCAACTTGATAACTAACGATTATTTGTATTAAGTCTTTGATTATTTTATAAATATATCACTTTATTAAACAAAAAACTCTGATATATAATATTTAAAAATCAATGTCCATTGTTTTGAAACTAAAATTAATTTTAACAATTTTTTAGTGCTTAAACAGAGCGTTTAAAATACGTTTAATATAAATTTGGAACTTGTGCACGAAATAGTGATGATAATATTGTTGTTGATATTATTTCCAATTATTTTCCAGCTTCTTTCCGGAAACAATCTTATTAAATGTTGTTTACGTTCATAAAATTAAACATGTTACAGCTTCAGTTAATTGAATCTCCAAACGCATTGCGGCCTCCTCGTTAATTAAAAACTGTAAGAGCCAATATTTGAGTACTATTCAGTGTGTTATCGTACACTTATAATTATTATACAGTCCAATTATTGAGGTAGCGTGTGGATCGTTTCGTCTTTTATAAGGTGTATTTTTGCAAATGGAAATATCACGATACCTATATATTTGCACCGGATTACTATAATATCTGAAATTTTCCCCTGTGCTTCAACGTGTTATAATAACTTGTAAGCTCTATGTCTTATAGTGTACTTTAGATCAATTTCACGAAATTAACGCTATTGGCGTTGACCAGAGACACCCAAGAGACATTTTTCACTATTCGACGGGGGTCTATAAATTATGAAAATACCCATAAGGACCGAACGGCATATCCATCAATTCGTATTCAGTTGTCAAACTCGAACGATGGTTCAGAAGCAAGTTATTGATCACAGGAAGTCACTGAACCGTCGAGCGCCTCCATTAAAATGGGCGCAGACGGAGAATTTCTGCGTGTTTTTAAACATCCATCTAAATCTTTAATTATTCAAATTTATTTATCATTTTCTACAAGATACATTTTTAACCCATTGGTAACCATTATAGTGGTACATATTTAGTTGCTAAAAGTCTGTCAGGAGTTAAGACTACCTATTTAAAAGAACAAATCAAAAAAATCAAGACAATAAAGAGAATGTATTTTTTTTATGAATATTATCAAATATTTATGACAATACATTTTATTTTAATATACATATATCTCCAGAAACAAATAAAAATACAGGGATCTTTTTACAGAGATTTATCAAATAAAAATAGCATGAAGTATAATATATTTTTTTATTTCGCTCTAATAATATAATGTGTGTCTTTAACTATAAAACAAATAATTGGAATGCTTCCAAAATATATATATTAATACGTATAAAGTTTTATATTAGGTACTTACTTACGCAAACATAATATATTATAGTCTTAACAAGAAAGGTTGAATTTTATTATATTGTTTAAATAATAATTTGATAAACAAAATTTTGTATAGGTACATAATATTATTATATCATTTTCTCACAATAATATTTTGTTTAGAATTTAAGTAGGTAGTTGGACCAATTTTATATTATAATACAGTTTATAAGTGTACGTATAACCGTTAAAAATGGTTCTACCCTATAATATCTGTAGACTGTAGTAATCATTGTGATTATAAGAGCGTAAAAACATAAAAGAAATAGTTGCTTGAATTTAGTAGAAATCTTACTTAACTTAAATTAAGAATGGATGTGATGTGCAATTTGTAGCAATTTAATTTAATAATAAATGCTTTCACTATATTATATAACTATTAATTATGCATCTAAAACAATACTAATTAGATGTATTGCATTTCAATATTGATCAATTATCAGCTAAATAAAATTAAAGGGTTCACTAAAATTCCCATGTAAAATAGTTGTAGGTTTTTCGAAAAATTAAGATGCATTTTTAAAACTTGAAGTGTTGCCAGAGGTATATTATATCAATCCGTTATTTCATGCCTATGCTGTAATTTTTAGCTGATTTTACTTGCTTTTAAAAAAAAAATTACTGGAGCTTATTAACAATAGCTTCAACAAAAACAAGATGAGCAAATTAATATACTGTCCCCGTGTTATTGTACAGAAATAACGTTATTTTATTATAACCGATGAGGTCCAAGGAATAACAATGATTTCGATGGTTTATACGTTTCGGAATTACCGAACAATCTGGGCCATAATTATTGGTATATTATGTAATATGTATACGTCATATTAATTATTAGGTACTTGTGAACGTTATACCTATAAGATACAGTCGGCGTGACGTACTGTTCCGACTTTTTCTCTCGATTTGCAGATAGGTTTCTGAACAGTGTTAAGTCCGCTTAACTACCTCATGAAATGTGTATAGGTATGTGACTAAATTTCAGTCACTATTTATAGTACTTTATACTGTTCGCGTACACTTTAAAATTAAATGTATACCCACCTATATATATATCATGCAGATATCCATACATTTATAGGTATACCGTATGTATATAAAATTGAAATATTTCAAATGCTTGTAGAGCGTGACCACTGCATCAATATTTGCCATGTCAATATTTGAATAATAACGCGAGTGTTGTACCTACACGTCATGCAGTTCGATTCGTAAATGTTGTGTAATATAATATAATATCGAATAGAATATTTTCGTGTTGTTTAACAATCGGACGTTTCATTACTATAAGTATATAGTTATTTATTATAGTATATTATTACTCATCATTTGCAATTTTCTCGTAAACGTGTTTTTGTAAATTGCTATTATTCGGATATTGTTAAATACTTGGCAAGCAAGATATATAACGGGATGGTTTTTGAAACATTTGTTTGATTATAAATTTAACTTATTGTATCTATAATTATTTAAATTTAAAAGGATCAAATTATCACCCACTTTGTCGGTTTGATGGATTTCGAAGCGTGTAACATCTGGAATGGTCGTCTGTATTTTAGTCGCTAGCCTTGTCATCCGGCCAACTATATAGTCGGTTTAATTAAAACTGTTGACTGAATAAATATCACAACCGAAGAGAACATGGGGTCATATTAAAAAAAAAAAAAAACACTGCTATTTTAGAGACAAATAAACTTCGTTTTTGAACGTACCAAATCGTAATTATAATCGGAACTCTATGTGCAACCGTCTTTGAGATCACTGTTTCGAGTACTTAATTAATGATGGAAATACATAACAAGTTTGCATATGTATGGTTTGCGTGCCCATGTTTTTGACTAGTTGGTTAAATGCGTCAGTTACCGACCACCATTTGGCATAGTTCATTAATTTCCACCCTGAAAATTAAATAATGACTCTTATTTTACCATCCACGTGAGAGCGACACAATTTCTTTCTCGCTCACCCTCTTCTTGTTTTTTTTTTTTTTTTTTTACTTGTATCTAAATAATTATCTTGATGTACCTATTTATTACGATGAACTATTTAAGTATGGCGCTATACATATTATCCTATTCATCATCCATTCCTATTCCGCACTCAGAGCCACTTATTTCGTTTATTTTTCCATATGTTGAACTTTTTCTCTTCTAAAAATCGTTGGTTGATAATCTTTTTTTTTATTTTGAGTTCCCTTGATTATTTATTAGCAGATAAAATATTTTGTTTAATATCTTATATCTTTCTAAAAACAATTCTAAAGAAAAAATAAAAACCACTCGTTTTCGTCTTATGGATCAAATACTAAAATAGACTCTTATACCTATTAAGTACTTATAAGTATATAATAGACTATTAAGTTATTAGCTTATACTCGTACAATGCGATTATATTTTACAAATTGTATTTTATTGTTTGTACTCCATACAAGATGTTTTGAAATACCATGTGTTTTGGTTTTGTTGGTACAACAAAAATCCATAGTTTTGACTCATTGTTTTCAGTATCATATGAATAATATTATTTAACTGGAGAATTGTACATACACTTATATACAACCATGTTTCCATAATATAGTAAATACAATAGGTAGTACAGTTAGTACATCTAAGAAACTCGTTATTCGACTGTTATATTACATTAATTTGTACTTAAAATTTTAAAATTATGAACACTAGTACAATATAAATATAAAACAATAGCATTTAAGAGTAAAAATAATTAATATTATCTTAATATTTTGCATAGGCTGTATATAATGTATAATATTATTTTATGTATAATTAATGTATAATAATATATACAATTGTATGATTGTTATATTATTATGTATTATGTGCGTGAAAGTCTGGGGATTTTAACAATGATATTTATCGTCAAATTAAAATAAAATATCATACTATTATAATCTCATGTATACGTAGTATTAATGCAGGGAAAAAAATATTTACCAAAGATTTGCATATCTTTGATGTGTGCGTATGTTTAACTATAAATGTGTATGTTATTATATTCACTTCTATTATAGTTGGATGATGGACATTTTAGAACGGTAAAATAATTTTAAATTTAAATTTCTTTTTCAGGTGACCGCTGATCCCACGAACGTATCGGCTCATTCTCCAGATGTGATTTACATTCGACTTAGAGGTAATATAGACGATAGTATAAAATATATTATAGTATATAGGTAATCAAATCGTATTTTAAGTTTTCACACGCCGAATTAGCTTTGAGCCTGAAAGTCAAACCACTATTATAATGTATTATTTACCCACATATGTAGATTATATAGGTAGAAAAACCCCAAGGCTGGGAATTGGAGATTGTGGAAGTCAAGTTATTTTTTTTAACTTAACGAGATAATTTTGAATTGAACCCAGGTAGCTTAGTTTAGTACGTATATAACTTTTCATGCATTTAAAAAGTTATTTTATTTTATCCTCACGTATATTGTCATTTATAAAATCAAGTGCAATAAAAAGTTACCTCGATTTCAGATTTATATATGTATATATTATATTTTATTTACTATTTTAGCTCGACCGAGTTATAATTCAAACATCGAATCTAACTTTTAACTTGTTGTATTTTTTGAACGAAATCTTATATTGCGTTATTATTGTTTTTCATAAACGAAATTCTCGCCAGAAAAAAATGCTCCTCAATCATTGCAGGAACGAGTAGAATTAATAATATTTCAAACTGCGATACGCACTATGAACTGTTTGATAAATAAATATGCGTGTGTTTATCATCAGTTCTTTTGTTTGGCATTGAACCGACTGTTTTTTTAGGGAAAAAAAATGTTTTTCGAAAACTGCCTTTACAATTTACCTATAAAATCGAACGCCGAATGTGTGAAATTTTGGCACCAGAATTTTATATTACTACCTATGTACCTATATATATTGATTACCCGAAAAACTATTTTATGGTATTTATTCAAATCTGCAGCAAATGTCACTGTGGCGATAGACTTGTGCAGCTGTTTGCTCATAAACCGTTGGTTGTATCGTACCTACATACAACGAATTTGATTACTTCGCTTGAGCTTCATGTCGACAGACTGTAGTAAATACTAATTAGTAAATACTAATCAATTGAACGTACGTTTATATATTTAAGTGTATCTTGCTGTGTGTGAGGGAGATCAAGCCGTAAAACCCACACGTCCAAACAACTCCTCGTACACGCCGTCGTTTCCCATTAGCTAGTCGACCAAGTTTCGGGGCACTTTGGATTTTGTAAAACCGTACTCGCATCGGAACCGGAACCCGTGTGTGGCAATAAGTCTTGTGGGCACGGTGTGATGACCGTACGTTCCGGACTTTTGGTTTGGCCGTCGGTGGACTGGTGGGAGAGAAGTTGCCGAATAGAAGAAACCGTCTTTTGAATATTTACGATACCTACGTGTAAATCATGCGGAACGAATTCCCGCAGCAGTTTATCTGCAAATTATAATTTTTATCTCGGCCGAAAACGGAACGGCGCTGCGTTGTTAAATATATAGACGTCTACCGCGCTCATCTATATTTATAATAATTTTTAATATAAAATATTTCACCTAGGTACCTACTATATTATACTATTATGTACACTGCGAGTTTTCCAGAACGAGATATCCTCTCGGGCTTTTCACCGTGTTCTTTCGGTCGGAAAAAAAAGATAGCGCTGCAGCAGTGTGTGTGCGTGTGAAAGGTTTTCTAATATTATGCATTTACCTATTATGCAGCACGGCCGGCCGTCGTCGTAACGTAGGAAAATTATGTTTTAGTACGGGCACAGAACGTCGTTAATAAATCTATAAACATAGTAATAATATTATGTACATAATATTGTGAGCATTTGTTTAGTGACTACGCGAGTGTGTAAACTGACTAAACTGTAACCACCAGCTGATCGTTTGAAATGTGTCAAGGCTTTCGGCAGATTGGCCGATACGCAAACATATTATATTATTATAATATATAATGACGATACATATACGGTGTAGGTGTATCAGTTATTTTACAAACGAACGCGCGGGTTATCCTGTGAACCAAATTGCACATTATGTGAAACAATGCGCATATTGTTACCAGCTATAGCGAGTATATAGTTATACGTTTATATATTTTATGCTTATGGGTACAGCGAAATTCGTTTATTTTTTGTCAACCATTAAATATAGACTATAGACCAATTTATTATTTTTAATTCCAAATATATGTATACAAAAAATATTATAATATAAAGAATAAAATGAATGACAACAACAACTTAAATCACAGCAGTTAAATCAAATAATTAATCTATGCGTAATAACTTGTAATTAAGTAATTAAAAAAATCAACAATATTTCTGGAAAATAATTTCTTTAAGAAAATGTTGTTACTATCCATACATTTACTTCTCAGGCAAATTTTCTCATGAAAAATAAAAATTCCCCCGTACCATGTCCATTGTCCTGTTACACCTATTAACACATAATGCTATTTTAAAATATGATGTTAAGCAACAATATTTAAATTATAATTGGTAATAAAAAATAATACTAGATATTATAATAAATATGTACACAATATAATTTTATACCAGCAAAGTGTTAATAGCTTTCTTCGTAATAAAACATAACCAATTTATATGGAATTATGTTTTTATGGTAGGTACTATAAGTAATAAGTTCTTATTACAGCTTAAATAATGATAAAAGAAAATAAGACTCGATCTAAGGAAACTGCTGAAGGTATAATAATATCTACTTAAAATGTTGATTCATTGTTAAATTAGTTGGAATGTTGTAACTTATAATAAATGTACTATTTTGAAATATATTACTGATATATTATAATAATTTGTGTAAGTATTATAGGTGTATAAAGTGATATAATTTTAACATAAATATTTTTTTTGCAATATACTATTTTGTTATCGTTAAAGATTTTTCATTTTAAATTCCAAATCAATACTATTGAATTAAGTATGGCATTTGTAATAATTTCTTAAATTTTTAAATTTAAAAGAAATATTTTTTCTTAAATATTAGATAATGAATGCATTCATTTATACGTGGTACCTTCTACTCAGTTATTCGGCAAAAAAAAAATTGTTTTAATATATTATTTTGTTTGCCAGCTACTGAATGAATGACAAACATATCATTTATTATTAATGACAGGCATTTCAGAGAGTAACTGATCGAGAGCAGATGGTGCAGTAATTATTTTTTTCAAGTGCCACTCAAATAGCCGTCGAACCGTTAGTTATTATTAATTTATTGTTATTACTTATTAGTATTATTATTACATTTATTACATTACTAATCGTATTAATATTATTACTAATTGCTATCATTAGGAATATTGCTTATTGCAATTTCTATTACTATTAATATTTCGTTATTACTAGGCAGGTACCTATATAATATTACTGTGGAATTTATGTACAACATTACGTTTTTGACTTTCAACAATGCTGTGAATGATAACGATAATGTGACAGTAGTTATCGCACGTAAAACATGATTAGGCGCATTAGTACTGTTGATGAGTTTGGTAAATTAGCGTTTTGACTGTAAATCACATTTTGGTTTAATTATAAACCTAAAGTTAACTTGATGTGTGTTAAAGTTAAATGTTAAATGAGTCGGTTGTTATTGTTATTGTTTTTTTTTTTTTTACACGGGTTTTAATTAAAAAAATAAATGTAGGTTATATATATATATATATATATATATTATAATAATAATATCAATATAGTAACATTACTTAAATTTCAAATGATGTTAAATTAAAATGCAGAAAACATAAAAGTATGTTAAAAAACTGCAAAAATATGTGCTTGAACCCCTTTATAGAGTGATAATTCTTATTTACAAATCTTTTATTCCATCATTCAAACGAACTCGTAACAAGATATTTAGTGTTTAATTCTGTTTGGCCCATTGTGTATATTTTCCTAAACAAATGATGACACAGAGTGAAACATTTTAATGATCGATGTCTTGTTATCCAATTGTGACGAAACAGCATAAGTATATAGTTTATTTTCAAAAATCGTATACCTAATTCTACAACAGATATTTCATGGAATTGAGGCAATTTTGTATATGTCTAAAGTTTAATGATCTTACTGTAGGTAATATGAGTTCTATAGATGCAAGGCCAGGGAATATTATACGCTGTAATATTAAGGTTTTTTGAGTCTCTTATAGTTTTACTTTTATATTTTTATTTATTTCCTTACCACGATAAAATCAGCTGATTAAGATTTCAGGAAACTCATGCATGATGTTAAATAATGTTTTTATAATACTCTTGGACCCAAGATAATAAATTCTTGAGGTCACTGTACAATAATAAATAGAAACACATTTCCTAATAACGTGATCCTAACATATATTGACATAATATAATGTGTAATATAATAATTGTGTTTTAAATATATTTTTCTGTTGTTTATATAAATAAATATATATTTGGATGGGGCTTATAGACTTGGAAACTATAGATACTGAACCAATTGGCATCGTATTTTTTACACATATTCCTTGAAATTCGAGGAATGTTTGTAGCTTCGTTTTAAACCCCTAGGTATAGTTGATATATGATGGCTCGCACATGAATTTCGTTTTTGCTCAAATATTTGTTTGTCTCTATATATAGGGTTGCCATTGGTTACCGTTTGTATGTTTGTAACTTATAAATTAAACAACTACTCCACCAATTTTGACGAAAATTGCAGAAATTTTTCTTATAAAGATATCAAAAATGTTTAGAGTATAGCTTGAACCACATTGGAAAATATACCCAGTACATAGTCGAAATAGTTCACAAAGCGAGGTAACCTAACCTAACCTAAGTCAGGTACACCGATGCCGATTTCCCAGTGAACAGAGGTAAGACACTAAAACCGAGATACATCAATATATATATCGCAGTATTTTATATTGTTCATTTTTCCTCGGGCAAAGCCGGGTTATAGGTACATCTAGTATTATATATTATTATATTATGTTTAATACTCTATACCTAGTTATATTATATTTTATTATGAAGGGGATAAAGGTTTAGTTTTTTTTCCGATTTTATTCAATAGTATTAGAAAGTTCAAATGTTACATCCAATAATCCTCTTTTTTATTATTATTATTATTATTATAAAACACTC